TACCTGAAGTTTTTAAGGTTTTAACAAAGCTCTCAATAAGGAAACAATGTCACGTACTAATAAGGTTTTGTTATTTCAGATTTTGCCTGTGGCTCACACAAAAATACATCCTGATCAGGTATCATATGTCTTTTATGTGGTTGTTTCTCATGTCCTTGCGAGTACGTGTAGCGACCTAATTTAGCATCCCCCACTTCATCTCAAGTTCCAGGTTTTTAAAAATAAGCCCAAGCCATTAAGTAACATTAAAGCTAACAGAAATTTCCCCTAGGGGGAGGAGCTGTTGAACTTGGGGTGAAAAACTTAAATACTGAATATCTGTGTAATCTGCAGAAGCTGTGATAGGAAACCTGAATGATCTATATATTGTTGGCTGTAGATTTTATCCAGTTACTTTTGTATGAGAAATGGATTGCCCATCTGACCAAAACATCTTTCAGAAACCTTCTTATTACCTTTGGTAATACATGGTCACCTAGAGAAGCCAGTTACATAGTGCAAGCTGAATGCTGGTTTTAAAATCTGATAAATAATAAAGATAGTCAGAATAAGCAAAAGTGTAAAAAGACGACTATGGAAATGTAAATTAATAATTTGAGAAAGCTTACAGGTGTTTTTTTATCATGTTTTATTTTTATGCTCTTCAGAACAGACCTAAGCACAAATATTTTGTCTCATTTAGTTTAGGAAACTCAGGTATGATCCATAACATGGCAAACAGGCTGCATTAGTCTATTTAAGCCATTGAGTGGTACATGCAAATTTGCTGTGGTTAAGCCCTTCCCTTCCTCATTGTTAACAATAATCACGTGAAAACCTATGTGATGCTTCTCCAGAAGGCAGTGCGAAGACAATAAAAGTGGCATTTTGTGGCCAGCCCTCTTCTGAAATGTATTATCACAGTAAGAGTGAAGAGAGACTGTATAATTGAATCAAAAGGTCAACAGAGAGAGCATTGGGAAGCCCTTTTACAGATTGAAAAGATGTGTTGGTGACATCATATGCCACTAGCTAGACATTTCAGCATACTTAGAAGTGTCTGATAAACCAGTAGCTCTGCATGGTAGTAAAAAAATTGCTGGAAGAGAACTGTGTTCTTGGCAGGCATTTTCAAAAAAATCTATCACATGACTGCATGTCCTTCCTCATTTGCAGATACTGCTAATAATTTCACAATGTAACATTTAACTTTCCTTTCTCTGTCCCTGGATGTCACTTTCTGTTGCAGAAACTAGGTGAAAGTGTTCAGCAACTTCTTCTAGCAAAAATTGCAGTCTACTTGATGACCTTCTTAATAGTCACAGTGGCATGGGCAGCTCACGTAAGGTAGGAACAGTGTTCAAAGTTTAAAAGGACGGGAGGTAACTATGTGTCTGATACATTTCTGTCTTGCTGATGTATTTCTGAATTGTCTTTTGTTGGATAATATAAAAAACTTACTGTAAAGAAATGCTACCCTAAGCAGTGAATTACTGTACCCTTACACCTCTGACGCAGTGATACAGAGAAAACCAGGCATTATATATCTTTTAAATTAGAGCTACTCTTCATTTTGCTTCATATTCTAGATGGAATTATCTTCTAATTATGTTGAAAAAGTATTACTTTGTAATTTGTGTGCTATGGAAATAGAGGAACTGATACAGTACAGCTGGCTTAAAACTTGTCTCTCTCAGTCCTCAGCAGTGCTTCTCACAAAATCGATCGTAATGTTGCAGATGCTGGATTTTATAGAGCTGTGGGCACTGCCACCTGCCCGGTCTTGGTAGCTAAAACGAAACTGGCATGCAGGCATCATCATATCACTGGAATCAGGGTAGTTTTTGTTTGAGTTTTGAAATTTACAAATGTTACTGTATTCGTTCCTTAAGTAAGTGGATTGACTGCATTCTAATAGAGGTGTGCAACCTGTAACTCAGTGCTTGAAGCTGATACTTCACATCAGTGCTTTTATCACGTTGCTTTTCTTTGCTTGCATAAGGGAATGCTGAGGCATAGTCTTTGAATAGTTTAGGGTTTTGTGGAGGGTGATTGATTCTATTGATTCTAAGTGACATTTTCGTAGATCAGGAGTTTCATTAACAAGGTGTGGTGTGGGGCATTTTGAAAGAAAAGTGTGTTTTCTCTGCGTAATAGTAACCGTGCTGTATCTTCAAGAGAAATAATTTTAAGCCTTAAAATTCTGAAAATATTCTGGCCCCAACAGCATGAACTTGCCTTTCTTCTCCCAAGTAAATCTCAGAGAAAATGAGAATAATAGCTCTTCACAATGGCATGTGAGACAAAGAACAATCTGAGACTCTAGGTGGACTTTGAACTCCTGGATCTGCTCTGGAAGATCTGTGCAATGCTGTTGCATGGCTCGGATCCCTACACAGCATTGCTTCTTCTGACAAGCTGAAAGTCAGTCTGGTGCATGTATTTTCATTTTGGCATCAGAATATCAAATGGACTTGTTAACTGTTCTTGTGTGAGCAGCTGAACAGTGCCTGCTGGTGAAAGTCTGGCTTTGTTCATGCTTCAGAAGCGTTTGCTTGAGCAATGAGCACAGGCTGTTGGTCTCCAGTTAGTTCTGGGCCTTGCCTGTGTTTGAGTAAGTAGGTGATTAAATGACAGCTAACAACAGCTGACCTGTGGCTCCCAAGCCTTGTGCAACTCACTAGCAGTTTGCTGGCTGTCCTGTCCTGGGCGTGTCAGGTGGCAAAAGATGGAGCTGTTCTGGAACAAAACCGCTTCGGGAGAAAGCAAACCCTGAGACTTGTCTGCATTCATCCTATAGTGAAGTAGCAAGTCCTCCAGAGAATCATCATCAACTCCTGCTCCCGAATCACCCTCATATCTTCCATTTTCCAAGGAATGATTGTAGCTCACTACCTTGTTAAGTTTTTGGTATGTGACTCTGTGGGTTGGAACTGACATCTGGATCACTTCTTCACAGATGAATTGGCTCTTAACAACAGAGAGATTTACTTCAAAGTAAAAATATAATTTCAGGTACAGAGGAAGGATAGAGTAGGGGGAAAAACAAAAAGCGACAGTTTGCTACCTCATACGCCATTTGTCCTTCCAGTAGAAATGAGGTTCGTAATAACTGCTCTGCGATTGAACTTGAGTGTTCATATCTCGCTTCTCAAATTTTTCTAACAAATTACTTCCATGTTTGAGCTAATGAATTTTGGTAGCACTTGGACTACTTGTATAAATTCTGGAGCAAAGGAAATCAGGCTCCCCTCCCATATCGTAAGTGTACAATTTGTATGCAGTGTTATAAAACATATTTTGGGAGCTGGCTTGTTCATGATATCTTGCCTTGCCTTGACAGGTTGTTTCAGGTGATAGAGCTTATAGATGATGTCCTCGCTCTTCTAAATCTGGTGAGTCTTGTCAGACATGCTGAATGTTTAACTGGCAAGTACAGGTCACCTTTTCTTAGATCTATATATCCAAAAGTTTCTAATTTAAATAGCGTAACTCTTCCAAATTTTCAAGTCAGGAAGATGCAAAGAGCTTGAATTCCTCCTTGCTAAAGTGGCTGATTGATAACTAACTTGCTTTTAACTTTGACGTATTTTACTGTAAGCCAAAAGAAGCTCTGCAATAGGTTAGTCTGAAGTTCATATGAGGAAGCTGAAGAGGCTCCTGTGGCAAAAGCTTTTTACTCTGTTCATCTGTCCAGCTGAAGTATCTGTCCTCCAGGCTTAGGAAAATGAAATGTTATGTCTTTTGTGGCAAAAAATCTTAGTGGTAAGTTTCAATTATAGTTATGTTTTCAGTCATTTCTCTGTTTAAGTTGCTCAGAAATTCATTCTGAAGTGTATTTGCAACAGAGGATTAAATATTCTTTCAAAGTCTGCCACTGAGAGACCCATCTCTGAAGCAGCGTTTTGAGCTTTACACTTGTCTAAATCTTACCTCTTAAAAAGCCTTCATTTATTTGAGTAGGTTTTTTAACAAGCCCCCTTGTAGTATCTTGGTTACTGATAGTGGTAATGGGATGCTGCAATGGTGGACATACTCTTGCTTTCAGCTAAAGCTTTGTATTTTGCTGTACTGTTTAAAATTCTGTTCTCTGACAGTGTGCAACCACACAGTTAATTTAATTTTGTTAATAAAAATACTGAGTTTAAACTCCATGAGATAACACTACAGGAAATTATGTTAGAGGACTAGCTTAACGTATGTAATTCTTATCTAATGTAGCTTTCAAAGCAATGCATTTCTTTGTGCTTGAGGGGTTGGGTTTTTTTAATTTGGCTTTTTTATGTATGAAGCATTTGTGATCAGAGATTAATGGTTTTGACAGATCAGAAACATCTCTTTAGGAGGTGTGGTACTTTTGGCATTGCTGCTTTAGAAAGATGCCTGTTAAGAACTACAGCAAAACTTTACTGGTGGAATTGGTAACAAAACTGTAGTGTTTTCTAAAATAAGCCGGTACATTTTGGAAGGTGCGTACAGAAGTGGCCATTTGTTACAGTCCAAGCTCAGCAACTTTAGAAATGTGTTGTTTTTTTGTGGTGCAGTATGAGCATTTGATCTGTTTGTGTTGCATTCTCTGGACATACCTTTAATGAGGGCTTTGCATTTTACCTAGTGTTTCAGTACACCTTTTTCTTTTTTAGGCTTGTATGATGATCATAACTTTCTTGCCATACACAGTAAGTACTTTTCTAAAATTTGACATATGTTTAAATTACAAGTTTTTTTTCTTTATTTATTTGGAAAGACTTTACAAAGTATTCAGAAACCCAGGAAAGTGTTACTGTAGTATAAACCCTGAATCCATTGTAGTAGTTAAGCCTTACTTTTTTAAAATTCACGAGGACATATTATAACCTTTGGTTACTGCATGTTATAGACCTGACAGAAAATAGGTATTCTCAAAGAAAAATTATAATCATGGAAAGTCATAGTTTCCCGTGATTTCTTTTTAAAAAGCAGCTCTATTGAAAAATCTCACAGTTGCCTGATGAACATTTTGCATTTTGTAAGGGAACTAAGGCTGTTTCAACTTCCTCTTTAGATGACAGAACATTTTCCTTTTGTAATCTAGACAGAGCTTTTGGTATCACTTCTGACTTACTCACCAGGGCTGATTATGGCAGTCAGTCAGTCATTTTTTTAAATCTGCAAATTTTGTGTTCTGTGCAATTTCTGATCAGATGACTTTTAGACCTAGCAAGAATGTTTGCAACTGAACACCATATTAGCAGAACAAAACAGTTGCTTAAAATGCATCTTGACTTTTATGATATCTGTAGAACAGATTTGTAGGACAGGCACCTGTTTCTCTGTGGATATATCTGTGGTCTGTATTAGTCTGCAGAGAATAAGGCTGTGATCAGTAAAGCAATCTTTGTCAGTAAGAGCACATACTTGTTACTTTGCCTTGAAGCAGAAACAATTTTTGGAAAGTTGTCAATGTTTCCCTAACACTACTCCCTGCCTTTTTTTTTTTTTGGTCCGCTAATGAAGCTGCAGAATTTAGTACAACAGGGAGCCATGGAGGTAGAGAAATTAAAAGATTCAAAAAGATACCCTAATATCAAGAATTTTCACAGCTATAAATGTCTTGTCCACTGAAAACACTGTTAAACTTCATGCTCAGCTACAAGCCAGTCTGTAGCTATTATGGAGACATCATGTTAGAGAAGCTAAGGTTTTGCACTATCAACATGAGAGAAAAGCCATCTCTCCAGCTGCCTTTAGTTGGGATGCCTGCACGTATTTGTGGCTAGAAATTGCATTTAGTGGAATTACGTTGAAATGCAAAGTTTTGTTTAGTTTTTTGAGTTTCAGTATTGAATGAAGAGTACTTCCCTTGCATTTTTTTCTAGTTTTCCTTAATGGCCTCGTTTCCAGAGGTACCTTTTGGCATTTTCCTGTTCAGTGTCTGTGCTGTTGTCATTGGCCTTATACAGGTATTGGAGCTATTCATTTACATTTTCACTTTTAAATAGATTTTCTTGGATAGAACTAAATCTACATTTATGTGTATAAGTTGCTAAATGTCTTTTTTGTTTATATAGCATTCTTTTTTTAAAGTGTGCCTATTGTGAAAATATAGTATCTGTATATAAGATGAAAGTTTGCTTTGCCACTGACCTGTGAAGCTGATTTATGCAACTAAATCAGCTGATCTCAAAGTCCACAGAATAGTAATTCCTTTCCTGTCTTGGGGAAGTAGCAATTGGCTAAATCTTACTGAGTCATGCAGTGATGGCTGAGTGAACATGGGCTTTCAGCGTCAGTCCAGTGCCGCTGGTTTTCTTCTGGTGCAGTGCTTTGCTGCTTTCTGTTCCTTATTGTGGAGGTCTTCTTTCCTCTTCATGTAACATCCATGGTCATGACAAGCTCTGCAGAGGAGACTAAAATTTTGGCATACAGTGTATTGTGAAATCTCAGAGTTTCTAAAACTAGCCTCCATGTGGGGGTGAAGAATAAGGTTGAAAGTGTTTTGAAATTTGTTGATTTATAGTTTCACAGTTTTATAATTGAAATGCTGCATATACTTGTGTCCCGGTTTTGGCTGGAACAGAGTTAGGTTTTTCTTTTTAGTTGCTAGAATAGCTCTATGTTTTGAATTTAGTATGGGATTTGTTACGAGAAGAATATTGATAGAATACTGATGCTTATCGTTGGTGCTGAGACAGCAAGGACCTTTCAGCTTGCCATATTTTACCATTGTGCAGGAGCACAACAGGCTAGGGGGAGCAAGGCTGGGAAAAGGGCTCACAATTTCTAATTTATGATTTGAACTTAGATTTAGGATTGAGGGCCAAATTGGCCAATGGAGTATTCCATATCATGCAACATGATGCCCAGAATATAGGTGGGGGTTGACCAGGAAGTTGAAGTTCTGTCTTTTGGGGGATTCTCTTGGTATCTTCTGGGACTCTCAGACTCTCAAGTGGTCTCTCTCTTGCTCTCTTTTCGAGCCTCTCACTCATCCAGGATTGCAGTGTCAGGACTTACCTGTTTTGGGATTGCTTGCCAGGATGGGTGTTGGTCACCGGGTGGCAGGTGGTGGCGCTGTGCATCACTTGTTTGTATATATTATTATCATTATATATATATATTCATATATTATTATAATTTTTGTTATTATTTTGTCATTATTGCTTTTAATTTCACATTATTTTTCTTGTTAAATTGTTCTTACCTCAACTCACGAGTATCCTTACCTTTTCCCCTTTAGTTCTCTTCATTCCCCAGGGGGTGAGGGAGGGTGAGCAAGCAGCTGCGTGTTGTTTAGTTGCCAGCCGGGTTAAACCACGACAACTTCTATGTAATAACTTCAGTAATGCTCTCCTCCTTACAGGCTGTGATAGTAGTGTATGGATTCTATCACCCACACTTACTGAATCAACAGATACAAGTGTCTGAAAATCAGAATTTCTATAAACGTCATATCTTAAAGATTATTCTAAGAGGACCAGTTTTATGCTTTTTAGCAGCCATCTTTTCTTTTTTCTTTATTCCTTTGGTAAGTACTCACAGTTAACTGAAAACTTTGATGCAGCGGTTTATATTAGTTGTATTTAGGCCTGTGAATTCAAATAATGATGTTCATGTTAAATACGAAGACTTTCTCAGTTGCTAGTTCTGTGGTGTTGTGATCGTGGTTGTTATTTTGCATTGAAGGTCTTCAGTTCACAGATACCAATCCGTAATTTGATCCACGAGTTTAGATAGTTTTGAAAGAATATCCTGCCACAATATTTGCTTTACTTGCTCTGCCTGATATTTTTTTCAATGCTTCTCTTAATTAGAAGCAGGTCTTCTAAACTGTAACTTAGCATCCTGCTCATTGTAAGTAAGTGAGATAATGTGGAAGGTTACACGAAATAAACATCACATTGCACAAACTGAAGACAAGTGAATATAGTTGCTGCACTATCTCGGGGTGTAAGAGCAAATAGAATAAGCAGACCAGTTAGCCAGCCTGCATCTAGAACCGAATGTTTTTGGCTAAGGCCTGCTCTCCCACAGCCTTTTTCTCTGCCATCTTTATTAAATGGCAGTGAGTTGCTCCTACCTAATTAATAGCTTTTATCTTTCTCAGAACCCCCGCTTGGAACTGAAATCTAGTTTTTGTTTCTATCCTGAGCTTCCTTTCTTCTGTCTTGTTCTTTAGGAAAAGGTGGTTTTAACTGAATTTTGAGAAAGATTCCATGGGAATTAGCAGTGTTTAAATAATCCCCAGATGTGGGAGGAATCAGGTTTCTGTTGATAAGAGACAGTTATGAGTCCAAATGTGAAAAGGCATAACTTTAACTGAAAATGTTTTCCTCTTACACCCTTATTTCCCTCTTCTCCTTCATTTTGTTCATTAGTGTATTTTCTTTTAATATTAATGACAGTGAAATTAGTCTCCCAAATTGCCCGTGTGCTTAGACCTGTGCAAAGCCTGTGAACCACTTATGCCCCACTGAGGTGTCTTTGGAACACAAGTAGTAGAATCATAGAATATCTCAAGTTGGAAGGAACACATAAGGGTCACATGGGATAGTTCTCTAACTTCCAAAGAAGTCATTACTGCATTTTTGTTAGCAGAGTTATTTTCCTTCTTGTTTTAGCTTGCTTCATTACTGGCAGTAAACTAGCTATAAAAAACAGTATTAGGTTGCACATGGAATATTCAGGAGGTGCATGTGCATTTCAGGTGGCCCTTTTCTATGTCATAAAGTCAAGATTTGTTTTTCTCAATGTGATTATACTTAAAGCTTGAGAGCAATAGTTTCATATTAAACTTGGAAGGTAATTTATATTTTGATAACTAAATTTAAACTATGTTCATTTTCCTCTCCATAGTCTTATGTACTTCTTGGGCTCGTAATCGTTTTTCCACATCTCACTCGATTCATTACACAGTGTAAAACCAAGATTGTTGGTGAGTAACAATATTCATAGCAGTATGTTCAGATATGTTATTAGGTTGTCAACATGTTAGCCAAACAGTCTGGAATGAAGTAGTTTTAGTTCTACTTCCATTTTCAGTCTTGGAACATAGTGATTTTGGGGTTTACTGCCATGCTTCCATATAGTTTTTCCCTTATTCCCTGATTTCCCTTAGTTTGTGACTACATTTGTGTACAGCACAACACATTCAAAAATCATGTGTTCAGCTCTGGAGTCCCCAACACAAGAAGGACATAGAGCTACTGGGACGAGTCCAGAGGAGGGCCACAAAGATGATCAGAGGGCTGGAGCACCTCTGCTATGAAGACAGTCTGAGAGAGTTGGGGCTGTTCAGCCTGGAGAAGAGAAGGCTCCAGGGTGATCTTATAGCAGCTTTCCAGTACCTAAAGGGGACCTACAGGAAAGCTGGAGAGGGACTTTTTACAAGGGTGTGTAGTGATAGGACAAGGGGCAATGGATTTAAACTGAAAGAGGGCAGATTTAGGTTAGATATAAGAAAGAAATTTTTCACTCTGAGAGTGGTGAGGCAGTGGAACAGGATGCCCAGAGAAGTTGTAGATGCCCCATCCCTGGCAGTGTTCAAGGCCAGGTTGGATGAGGCTTTGGGCAACGTGGTGTAGTGGAGGTTTTCCCTGCCTATGGCAGGGGGGTTGGGAACTAGATGATCTTTAAGGTCCCTTCCAACCCTAACCATTCTATGGTTCTATGGTTCTATGATTCTATGATCATTTCTGAGTGCAAAACCTCTCTGGTTTGTCCTGAATATGCATGTGCATGCACACACACACAAGTATATGAATGATGCCTCCAGGCCATCTATCCCTTTTCCCTCCTAAAAAGGGAGCATGGGGATTGAAGAATATAGAAAGCAAGCTCTATGCCTGTATCATTTTCTTCCCAGCAATACTGTATGATACCACATTTTCAAACTGGCAAGCAGAGCACCTATAAATCAAACTTTTTCAGGGTAATTAACTGTTTAGGGTGTTACGTCTTATTAATCTAACTGCTCTGGTCTGAAGGTGTGCCTTCACACATGGCTTAAGTGAGCCTACATCCATGCTTCCTTCCTTCACGCTCTTTGCTTATATTCTTTCTGCCCGCCTTGTGTCAGCACTAACAGTTTCACAACCACACCAACAGCCAGAGCTGCTCTCAAACTGCTGAGAAGGAGGTTGCCAGTGCCAAAATAAAGGAAAAGATGTTATTGTGCAACCTACTCAGCCAAAAGGTGGAGTGCCTCCCTTTGAGAGCAATATAAAGTGACCACAAAACCACTGAACAGATCATGTCAGATCATCTCCTGAGATGAGTCAGAAGAATAACACCTTTGTGCTTCTGCTGCTGCTGTTCAGCCTAATACAAGTCCGTCTGTCTGCACCCCAAATGCAACATGCTTCTGACTCCCTCGTGTGGCAGCAATAATACACAGGGAGGCAGAAATGTTCTGAAACTGCTAAAGCCAGATGCTTTGAGCCAGAGAATAAACTCATACACATATTGCCTGTGCCTACTGTGACAAGATCACTGCTGTTTGCAGTCAGGCTGTTTTCCAACAATGAAGGGGTTAAAATTATTGTGTAAGAATTTCATGAAGCGTTTAGAGGGCTGTTTGCAAGTACCTAAAGAACATAACAAGATGAGCATACTTGAAGCTGCGGGGAGTGATTAGGAGGGAGGCTCTTTTCCAGAACTGTCTGCCCTTGAAGGGAACATCCCGGAGAAGGTATGAACTTTGTTCTCATGTTTTTCTGAATTGTGAACATGAGCAGCATTGACTTGGGGAAAAGGTAATTCCAGCAGGGGGAGATCACGACCACCGACTCATGGACCACCTCCCCTAAACATACCCCAGACCCAAAAGAAAGGAGCGGAGGAAGAAAACTGAGCATGGGAAGTAATTTACATGTAAAGCGAGAGAAAATTAACCAATTGTTTAAGAGAATAACAAGGAACATGTAAACACGTTATGAACACGCATGATTTTAGTGTGTAACTAAGTTTCTGTCCATGGGCCAGGTGTCCATGCCAGGACAAGACATCCCCCGTGCACCCGGCACCACAATAATGTCACTTTCTAACACCACAAACTGTTGTAGAGAGTTTCTGTCTGGATTTTCAGTGACAAGATCATGTCTGTGTATGTCTCACCTTGTCAGACAGATGACATAAATTACTGCTCTGTTGGCTAAGTTGTGATTACCCTTGCTTTTCATTCAGTTCCTCTCTCTGCTTTCTCTGGAAGCTATAAGGTTTTTCTTTGTCCAGTCTATACACCTGAAGTGGTGCAGCTTGGCTAGCTGGGCAGTTCAGAGTCCAGTCTTTAGAGATGTGTTTGACGTTTCCTAGAAAAGCTCCAGAGGTGCACCAAAGATTGGATTTGTTTTAAAGCATGCCATTTGATGTCCCAGTGCAGCCCACATGCTCCAGGAGTTTCTTTTCCCATGCAGTGTAAGTTCTCCACACTTAGAGGATCTACAGCTATTAGGGCTTCCCGAGGCACAGCATCTGATTTGTTTAGCTCAAATGTTTTGTTCAATTACAACTTTGAATCATTATTCACTTCGTGGAAATGGTCTGCCATACAGTTGAAAGGATAGGGTTTCTTTGTCCCTGAAACACTTGTTGTCCTGAAAGCAACATGTACTTCAGGCAGAGGCACAGCTGCTGAAAAAAGTGGAGTGACTGACCTATGTAGATGAATGGCACCCTTCTTTCTACAGAAAAATTTTGGCAGATGGGGAGAAAGAGAAAGGGAGGTCACAGTATGTTGTTTAACTACCTTGTTTTATAGTACCTGCTTTTGTCTTTCATTTGTAAACATATGGATTTGTTTCCAGGTCAGAGAGATGAAGAGGAGGAACACCATAGCTTAGAAACCTTCACTTTTTACCTCAGTGAACCTCTGAGTAAGGAACGGGTAGAAGCGTTCAGTGATGGAGTCTACGCTATTGTAGCAACCCTGCTCATTTTGGATATATGGTAAGGCTTTGTGTTGCCTCCTACACTTTGTATTTTAAATAGAATATTAACTTTTGACTCTGTGTAATATTTGAGGAAATATTGGAGAGGGACTTTTTACAAGGGCATGTAGTGATCGGACAAGGGGCAGTGACTTTAAACTGAAAGAAGGCAGATTTAAATTGGATATAAGGAAGAAATTTTTCACTCAGAGGGTGGTGAGGCTCTGGAACAGGTTGCCCAGAGAAGTTGTAGATGCCCCATCCCTGGAGGTGTTCAAGGCCAAGTTGGATGAGGCTTTGGGCAACGTGGTGTAGTGGAGGGTTTCCCTGCCTATGGCAGGGGGGTTGGAACTAGATGATCTTTGAGGTCCCTTCCAACCCTAACCATTCTATGATTCTATGAAATAAAATTAACCAAACACTGTCTTTGACTTCTAAAACCTGCAGTGGTTACTTTAAATACGATTTTCTGGAAAGATACAGAACACAAACAAAAGATATTTCTAACACCCACGTTTCAGCAGTGGTGATCGTCTATTTAATGTATGTTGGGGTGACTTTTGCTTAGTCATGTTTTCAGATAAAAGGCTTTTATCAACAAAAGCTGTTTAGTCACTGTGGTAACATTATTACATTAACCTAAAGGAATGCCAACCTACTTTTAGGTTCCCTTCCAGATCTAATTTATTTGCAGAGCTGTTATTTGAAATATTGGTTTTAAGTTACAAATTAGAGAACTACAAAATGAATGCCTGTTGTTCCCTACTTGCTCAGAGTAAAGCAATATAGTTCAGTGTTGCTCCAGGTTGGTTTTTATAACAGAAATATGCAAAGTAAAGTAAGTTTTCTCTCCACAGTGAAGACAACGTCCCTGATCCCAGAGAAGTTGAGGAGAAGTTCCATGGCAGCCTTCTTGAAGCTTTAAGTGAATATGGGCCAAACTACCTTGCCTACTTTGGCTCATTTGTAACAATTGGTCTCCTGTGGTTTGTCCATCATTCACTTTTCCTTTATGTAACAAAAGCTACACGATTAATGGGACTGCTTAACATACTTTCATTGGCTTTCATTGGTGGGCTTCCGCTAGCTTACCAGCTGACCAGTGAATTTGCAGAGAAGTCTCACAATGAAATAGAAGCCATTCAGGTCAGCTGTGTTATCACTTTCTTTGCCAGCATATTTCAGTTTGCAATATGGACTACAGCCCTCCTCCATGAAAGGGAAACTTTGCATCCTTTTGCTAGATACGGTGGCAAGGAGCATGCCTTCATGTTTGCCAAGCTGGCTCTCTATCCTTGTGTAAGCCTCGGGGCCTTCTTTCTAACATGCTTGTTAAGTGAATTCAGCACACCAATTTTCCATCTTATGCAGATCATCATCCCATTTGCTTTTCTTGCGCTGCGCATTTTTGTTAGAATCTCTTTAACTGTCATAAAGTCTGTGATGTCTCTCTCCAGACCGAAGGTGGTATTGTTAGAAGAAGAGGAGGCGTGTTTGTCTCCTACTGAAACACTGTCCTAAATTTCTGTGCAGTGCATGGTGAAGTTATAACGGTAACTGCAGTTCTTCTAACTGTCAATATTTTCATGTGTGGATAATATTGATCTAAACCAAAGCCTGCATTGGCCATAACTGGGGCATATTTAAGTTTTAGGTGGTCATGCTAGAGACCTTTTCTTCAAAACCTGTAACTGAAAAAACTGGATAAATAGGGGATACAAAGAAAAGCATGTTCTCCTTCCTTTAGAGTTGGCACTTTTGGAAGAGTGCTGCTTGACATGTAAGTGCAGCGATGATCAATAAAGAACTGCACAAACAGATTCCTAGGAAAATGCCCTTTTTTTCTGACGTATGGCAGTCATTACGGCAACCAAACACAGATATAGAAGCTGGTTGTACTGCTGTAAGATAGTGAGTGAGGCTTGGAAGGCACGGAGACCTCTGGATTTCTGGATGGTGCATCATGGTAGAATGTCTGCACATACAGATTACTCGTCTCCCTGTCTTTTTTTTTAATGGTTACAAAGTTTCTTCTGCATAGTCACAAACTTGTGATAGCATTTTGAATTGTGTTTGAGTGGCTCTGAGCATGAGTTTAGATGAGAATTGCAATTGTGATCGTATGCAGTCTTCCAGGCTACCTGAACACAAGTTCTTCAGGCATATCTGTTCTTTTAAAAAAGGATATGTTTAAAAAATGGGGATTCATGTGGCTATGTATCCAAAGTTTGAACTAACTTTGGTATCTCCCAGGGAAGAGATTGAGAGACCCGTGGGACTAGAGGTAAATTTGTTTTCAGTTCTGAAGCAGCTGCTTATTATCAGACTTTTTGTGTTTGTTTTCATGCCTATTGAGAGGAACATCCTTCTGTTATTCTGAAGGCGTAATCTCATATTCAGAGAGAGTGTAAGACTTTCTTGCCACTTACAAGAGTTCCCTATCAGGTAAGGGAGTTGAGTTTTTCCCTAAGTAGATGCTAACTAGAAGATCCCACAGATTTCTGAGTCTCAGAAAGACAGCAAAAGAAACTAACCCTGTAGAAGTTCCAGTCCATGGCATGTTGAATTTTTTTACACTTATGTGCAGTTTGATAAGCTTATTCTTATCAAATGTTACCCTGCAGAGAGCTGTACAGAAGGAGGAGGCAAGATCATCTAGCCTCTGGCTGCCCTGCAAGCCTTTACATTTCTTTTTGTCAGAGCCATTAGTTTGTATCTTGAGATGTCTTAGTGCCTGATTAATGCCATATTTAAAGGCATTTGAGGGATTTTGTTGTTCCTCTTAAAAAAAATAAAAGTACTGTGGCAAAGTATGCGTGTGATAATTGTTAGTGAAAAGAAATTCAGATCTCTTGTTTCAGTTGAGATCAGTCTTGAAAGCACTTGTGTTTTTGATTTGAAGCACCTTGGTACCAATATGTAATTGTTCAGATATTCAAGACGTTTTATACCTGGTTGAGGTTAAATGACTTGCAGTAGGATTCTGCATTGTGTTGTGTATTGCAGGGTTTTTCTGATTCTTAATAAAAGCACTTTTGGTTCTACATGGTTTTGTTTCCTGTGTGCAGCAGGCACATAATAAGCAGTGAATATATGTATTTGTAATAAATTTCCATCAGTGAAAAAACAAAGCTTCTAGCCCTTTATTTCTGCTCTGCAGGTGCAACTTAAATCTATTACTAGAATTAAAATGATGTTGGACATCATTTTTTTTTTTTTCCTTCAAAACCATCAAGGTACCTTCCAAACTCAACCAGTCTGTGATTTTGTGTGAAACACTCAAAAGCTTTTAATATAATATAAAGAAATGTTGATTTTACTTCTGTTGGTACTTGAAGAAAATGAGACCTGAAACTGAATCTCACCAAGGAGTTTCGTCCCAGTGTTTACAGAGATGCCTTGAAGAGCAGTGAATTGCAATATATACATACTACAAGGAACTATATTGGCTAACTAATAAATTTTTCCTTTCTTGTTTTCACTCCACTTGCACATAAGCAATTTGTTCTGCAGAAAGAACATTTTTTTTTTTTTGCTTGTAGTCAAGATACCATTATTCAAGCCAAATTCAGTAATATCTCAGAACCTACACTTGAGGGCAAACTTGGCCTGAGTTTTTGTATAAACCGTTGGTTTAGGATCATTCTGATAGTTTTGGTAAGTTCTGGAGAAACAAACTGCATTTCAGAAGGAGGCATTAATTTCTGTAATTCTCAAGGAGAAAGAACATTCCCACATCTAACTGTAACTAGCTCTTCTTTATGACCACAGGTTTCTGTCTCTAGAAAAAATAAAGTAAAATGCTTACAATTATTATAATAATCACAGAATCACAGAATAGATGAGGTTGGAAAGGATCTCTGGAGACTATCTAGTCCAACCCTCCTGTTTTTGGTTGGCTAGAGCTGGTTGCGAAGGTCTCTGTCCAATCAGACTTCGTGCATCTGCACAGATGAAGCCACCACAACCACTCAACATGTCAACCTGTTTGCATGTCCAGTTGCCCTTAGAGTAAAAAAAAAAAGGTTCCTTTTCTTTTTTCTTCCATTTAAAAGGAATTTCCTGTATTTCAGCTCGTGCCCACTGCTTCTCATCCTGTCACTGGGCACCACTGATAAGAGTCTGGTTCAGTCTTTGTTCCTCCTCTTCAGGTATTCATAAACATTGGTAAGATTCCTTCTGATCCTTCTCTTGCAGGCTGCATAGTCCCATCTCTCTCAGTATCTTCTTGTATGAGAGATGCTCCAGTCCCCGCCTTGTCTCCATCGCCCCTTGGTGGACTCGCCTTAGAATGTTCATGCCTCTCCTGACCTGGAGAAGGGAGAGCTGGACACAGCATGCTAGATATGCTGTCACAAATCACCTCCCTTGACCTGACAGTGGCACTTAGTTCCTAAGTCCAGAAGGCTGCTGGCCTTCTTTGCCAGAATAATAGTTTTAATTAAATAAAATCTCCTGAAAGTGAAGAAGTAAATTTGCAGTAAAACTTCCTTTTGAATTACATTGAATTTTTTTTGCCTGTGGTTCTTACTGGTACTGCCAGTCAGGAGCAACTGCCTCCTAAACATTCAGGTCAGATGGGACAAAATGTGCTCATGGATAGGAGGGTATTTTGGAAGTCCATTGTCTCAGTTCACGATTGTGGCTCCATAATGATGGCTGCTTTCTTCGTTGAGACCGGTTGGCTTTGTTAATGGATTAATCAAGATTAGTTCAAGATTAATGCATTCAAGACATTAAAAGATGGTAACAGCCACTTGCAACACTGTCATCTCTGCCTTCTATAACAAACAGTGCTAGCTGAAAAATTCTGTTAAGGACTGCTGAAGATGCATTTTCAATTCGGCACCTTCAGAATAATGGTAAGTGTACAGAGCTCTTAATTTACTTAATTTACTTTAAAAGAGTAACAGTCATAGCTGGAGTTCTTTGCAGAGACAGGATTTGTGTTTTATCACTATAAACACTGTAAATGGTTTACAACTTTCTTCCATTTTATTTGAAAACAAGTAAGTTAGTGCAAATAATTCTCTTACAACTTACCAGGAAGCTGTTTCTTATGACAACGCAAACTTCCATATAAGTTTGGAGCAGACACAGTCAAAGCTATTGTTTGGTATCTGATAGATGGTGTCTCAGGTAACTGTGACCTATTTGCTACCATTGAATGAAGCACAAAGATAGATGTTTTTGTAGTGGGAAGAAAACACACAGATCTCTTTTAATACTTACAATTTTTTATTGCAGGTAACTACATGGTGCCACTTCCTCCTCCTTTTCTTCTCCATGTATGATGGTGTAGCATCACGACTTGTAGTCCAGGTTGCTTGCTGCATCCGTAGGGGAAGACTAGAACATCTGTTCTATCTGTGTATCATCAAAAGAAATGAAGAACAGTAGTGATTTTTCTTCAGAGCTTTAGTGCTTTCTGTTTAAACATCCAGCATAGAGATGTCATTCAATAAATTGCTCAAAATAATTTTAAAAAATGAGCATTTTGTTGTTTTGAATAAAATCAAGCTCAATCAGTAACTCAGCAGAGCACTTCTGCAAAGTGAAAGCTCAAAAAATTAGTTAGGGCTAACTTGTAAATGAACTGGCTAAAGAGCAGAATCTGCTGTTACTGGCATACTCCTTCTGTAGAACTGATTCTTAGAAAGACTGTCTTAGGAGTTTGGAACTTTTAACATATGAGACTTCCTTTTTTAAAACTAACTCACATTCATGTGAGTGACAAAACCAAGTCAGCACTGAATTTGTTAGCCTGGGTCATCAGAAGGCATTTCAGGCTAGTGATACAAAGAAAACGTCAGTTAGATGACTGATTCAAGTCAGCTGTATTTCAAAGTAAGTGATGCAGTAATTCAAGACCATCATGGTTCTCAACTTTTTTCTTTGTAGTATTAAGGTGAAAAACATTTCTATGATCTAACTTGAATTGTTTGCCTTTAAAACTGGTACACTACCATCTGGAGAAATTCCAGACTGCGTTCTCATTCCGGAAGTGCCTGTCTCCAAGTCAAGAGTGTGTTCTCTTCACAGATCAGCATAAAGACTCCTAGTTATACTCCTGCTGCTTTGTCTTTGGGAGATTTATAACATTTAGTTAAAATCATGCCACTGATAGGTATATAAGGATTTTTAAACTCTCGTCTGGACATGCATTGGACGAAAAATGGCTGAATAGGCAATCACTATGCCACTAGCAATTTCACTGGTTTGTTACTGACTTGGCATTGAGCTGTGCAGTGGATTACTCTGGCGTTAACAACTGATACTGGTGCTCGGAACTAAGCCGATATCCACTCACAGTGACCTCACTTGTGATGCGCCAAGTGTTTCTCGGAGTTCTTGCTACTGAAAGCAAATTAAAAAGGAAATGTAAAAAGAAAGCGATAGGTCCGTAGTCTTTGCTCATATGTCCTTCGCCCTCTGGATCAAACGCGTAAAACGCAGTTTCTCTGGGATCCGTGCCCGCAGAAGGCAGCGTGTCCGCAGAGCGCGGC